AGAAACATTAAGCAACAAAACAAAAGACTTAAGAAACAAACTTCCTAGTAAAAATAAAATGAGAAATTAGTATTTGGGTGAAATATGAAATACCATTTATAAACAAAACTTTTCTAAATTGACAACAATTCTTCAATAACAACATTCTCATTAACTTTTCCCCCAACAAAATATTCTCTGAAAAAAAATTGTTGTTTTACCTTTCGCTGACATTACTGCTAATTGCGGTAAAAAATTCCTTTGAAGTGTCATTTGCCTTTTGTCATTAATCATCAATAAAATCACTCAATTAATCGTAAATCATATGACAGCTGTGTGAATATTTTATACGCCTTGTGTTTTAGAAAATCACAGCTTAGTTTCTGAGATGCCTGACCGCTAGTTGCCTATCATCTTAATTATTATTTAGAAATGTTTAAACAACACAACAACAAATAGAACTACAATTTCATAAAATAAAATTAAAAAAAAAACATTATTCCAATTAATTAACTACCAAGAAATTCTTTAAGCAGAGCAAATTTATAATAATAATGAAAGTTTTTTTTGTTATTAGAAAGCAATTAGATTTTAATTTAATTGGTGTTTTTTGTTGAACAATTAAATACAATTTTAGTAGAGAAATTCTTAATGGGTCAAATTATTTCATAGACTTTTTAGTAAAGTCAAATATTGTTTATGAGTCGTTTATTCTGCAAGTGGTTTAAGTCCATTTTAGGTTCTTATACAATCCTTGGTTTTCTACAAAATTGTGCAAAATTTATTACGTTATATATTCCGTCATGTTTGAGGCACAATGCCGCAAACAAAATTAGTACACCTTCACAATATTTTTGAAACAAATCAAACCCAAAACTTTCAATATCTTAAAATAAGAAAAAATTGACTTACACCACATTCAAAATAAACGACTCATATAATACAAGGTCTGGGTGGTATAAGGCCCAATTTCGGCCACCCAATTTTCGGTATTTTGGGAGTTTTGAGCGCGTTTCTCAATTTATTTCGCTATAATTTGGTACATTCGGTTCATATTATGCACAATATTTTCAGCTAGTCCCCATAAAAGGGTAAAACTCCATATATGGTATTTTGGGGATTTTGAGTGCGTTTTCAGCCAAAATTTCTGTAATTTGGTACTATCGGTTCTTTCAGCGTGTTTTAATTCAATTCGCTGTCATTTAGTATTTATACCCTGCACAACTATGTTGTCAGGGTATTATAGCTTTGTGCAGCCCCAAAAGTTTGTAACGCCGCGAAATATTGGTCCTAGACCCACCTTTAAGTATACCGATCGTCATATCTCGACTAGCTGAGTCGATCTAGACATGTGTGTCCGTCCGTCCGTCGTCTGTCCATTATAATATGTAAACACGCTGCAGGCCACAGTTATGGACCAATCTTCACGAAATTTTGCATGTAAGATGGGTTCTGGCCAATGAAGACCCCTATTGTTTTTGGGAAAGATCGTTTAATATTTAGAGGATGAAATGGACCAAATACTAAATTTTTGTCGGTTTTTCTGGTCGCTCCAGAGGCCGCAATAATGGCCGGAACATCGTGAAATTTTGCATGGAGAAGGGGATCGGGCCAAAGAATAAGCATGCCTGTTTTGATAAAGATCGGTCAATATTTAGCGGGTCAAATGGATCCTGACTTTTGTGTGAAAAATGACAAAATTTGTATTCTATAGCGTATATATTTACTCCTGAAGGACATAGACCCAAGCAGTTGACAGTGTATCCAAGAGGAGTGGTTGACCTTTAAATTAATACCAATTATATCGTCGTATGTGCTCAGATGTGGAAGTTACACCTAAATATTTACAGGTATCTCCATATTCGTATATTATTTAGTAACCCATTATTATATAGAGAACGGAAATATAGCGCTGATCGCTTTGAATTGTTCCATGAGGTTCCAGTTATGGTCAAGGACAACGCCTATAATTTTCGGTGATGATCAGATAATAATTTTGGGATGAATTGGACCGAAAACTTAATTTTTTGTGTTATTTTCGAGTCGATCTATAGACCACAAATGAAAGCCAAATATCACAACACAACCCACGGTGAAGGGAATCTGGACAATAGCTGTACTGAATACTCGTAATATTCAGTGGTTGATCTTTAAATTAATACCAATTATATTGTTGTATGTGCTCGGATGTGGGAGTTACTCCTAAATATTTACAGATATCTCCGTATTCGTATATTATTTAGTAACCCATTATCACTCTAGAGAGCGGAACTATAGCGCTGATCGATTTGAAATGTTCCATGAGGTTCCAGTTATGGTCAAGGACAACGCCTATAATTTTCGGTGATGATCAGATAATAATTTTGGAATGAAGTGGACCGAAAACTTATTTTTTTGTTTTATTTTCGAGTCGATCTACAGACCACAAATGAAAGCCGAACATCACAACACAACCCACGGTGAAGGGAATCTGTACAATAGCTGTACTGAATACTCGTAATATTCGGAAAATATGCCAGTGTGAGAGGGTGCAAATATCACGAAATATTGTCCAGACTTGGAAAAACATCCGCAGAAAATTTGAGTTCCGTGGTAGTTGCGTAGGGTATCGTATGGTCGGCCCCGTCCGACTATACTGCTCCTTCCATATAGTCTCCATGTACCACACTGTGATACAGAATATTATGCTGTGATACAGGATATATGTTTGTAACAGGCAAAAGGAAACGAGATAGGCACACAGTTCCTTTTGAGAATATGCAAAGAATCTCATTCTTGGTCGATTTATGCATGTCTGTCCAAGTTAAATTGTAAACAAAGTACGTCCTTCCATCTGTTGATGTTAAATTGTAAACAAAGTACAGGTCGCATTTATTATCCGATTTGGATGAAATTTAGCACAGGTCATTTATTTGGCCCTTATTTGAACCCTATTGAAATTGGAGAAAATCGGTTTAAATTTAAATATAGGTCCCATATATATTTTCGTCAGATTTTATGTAAATGGTGCACAAAAGCCACTATATTACTTTCGATTCGCATGAAATTTGGCATAACGTACTGAATTGAATCTGGAATGAAGTATGCTCAGTTTCGGGAAAATCGGTTTAAATTTAGATATAGTTCCCATATATATGTTGGTCCGATTTATTGTAAATGGTGTACCAAAGTCCCTATATATCTTTCGATTTGCATGAAATTTGGCATAGTGTACTGAAATAAGTCTAAAAATGATGTGTGTTAAGTTTCGTAATAATCGGTTCAGACTTAGATATAGCTCCAATATATATTTTCGTCCGATTTCGTGTAAATGGTGTACCAAAGCCCCAATATTTCTTTCGATTTGCACAAAATTAGGCATTTCGTACTGAATTGAGTCTGGAATGATGTGTGCTAGGTTTTGTAAAAATCTGTTCAGATTTAGATATAGCTTCCATATATATATTTTCGTCCGATTTTAAGTAAATGGTGCACTTAATAATCAAGGCTAGGCCGATTGACACACAATTCCGTACAATATACAGAAGTTAATAAAAATTAATCTCTGACATGTCTCGTTGTAATCGGTTCAGATTTTGATACAACTACCACATATATTTTCGTCTGATTTCATGTAAAGGGTGCATCAAACTCCTAATGTTTGTCTGATTGACACGAAATTTTGCACAACGCATCAAAATTCATAAAATTGTGACTAGAATGACTTTATAGCGTATTTTTTTTTTTTTTTTTTTTTTTTTGAAATTGGTGTATTATATAGTCGGCCTAGTCTGACTTTACTACATTCCTTACAATTTTTATATTAAAATGGTTAGCTGACTTGTTCCACGTTTTGGAGTTGTCCCCGTATTTTATTATAATATGGGAGATATTTTGTACTCGAAATTGTCAGTTTATACCCTACAACGTATGGAATTCTAAGACGATTTGACCGATTTATCCATCAGTTGTAATTATTTTACTTTCGGAGGATATCGAGATACAAAAAACTAGAACGCCCGCTTCGAGAATGAAATGGTATTGAGATACACATCTGAAATAATAGGACTACCCCCTTATATAATGTTAAACCCAAATTTTCCCTAATTCCTACACGATGTAATCAATATTGGCCCCGCTTTAGGTATAGCCTTATATAACCTTTCTCTCCAAATTGCAGTATTTTGAGGATTTTATATAAATGTTTTACCCTACCATGCGTAATCAATATCGGTCTACGTTTTAGAGATTTGAGGTTTTAGGAATAGAATAGAGACAATATTTTAAAAATCCACGCCGACAGGAAAAAAATTTTAAAAACCCACTCCTTGTTAGATACAGGATTTTTTTAAATTTTAAAAATCCACGCCTTGTTAGTGACATGAAAAAATTTTATTTCTAGGAAATTAAGCTTCAAAAAAATCACTCTTAGTTCTTTCCAAAAACATTCTTAAAACACAATCCTTAACACTAGATTGCCGAAGGCGTTCATTTTGATCTTTTTCAATTTCAAGTACAAAAACAATTGTGTATATTATGACACAGCTTTTTAAAATTTGGTGACTTTTTGTACCACATACAACTACGTTTATTACTCATAGTAGCTGCTTCCCCCTCTTTGATTCCCGGTATAAACATGTGCTATATCTACATTGCCCAAAATCAGTCATTTTGACCTCTTGCAAAATATTAAATAACCAAACTACTATGACCAGATCAGTACAACAACATCGAAAACCGTTTGCTACTCTTGAAACACAAACAAACACACAAATTGGAAAAAATAACTTTTATATTTCCAGTCAATTTCACTCTTAGAGTAAACACTTACTCTGTTTTGAAAATTTTGTCTGCACTTATTTTTCAAAAAGGGAAACCCGAAGAAAAAAAATTTCCTTACACAATAAAAGTTCTTTCAGAATGAGGTAATTTTGACCTATTTTAGGCAATATAGGTATATACAAATTTCCAGTCTTTCTAGTGTTAAAAAAATCTTAAAAATCTAGATTATCTTATAACAATTAAAAAATATTTATACTCACTTATGACCCAACTCATGGGCTATGGTATGTGAAAGCATTATGCCATTGTCTTCATTAACACTACAAGACTGTTTAGGTTTACACATTCCGCCAACATTGGCTAGACCCAGGGTCCTGTTGGTAAAATTAAAAATAACACACATGCATCAATTAAAAACGTATTAATGAATTCAAATCCCAATTTGAATTACTAAAAATGTTGTTATAACTAATAGCTACTTACATGCAATTATTACCGCATATATTTTTACGGGTTATCAAAACGGCTACATCATGGTGATGTGGATCCAATTCATTGCCGCTATTTAATTTGTGTTGCCAACTAGGGAAGAAAACAAAATCAAATAAAAAAATTGTATTACTCATGCTTTTAACAAAATGACACATTTCAAGATTATTTTAGCTGCCGCTAGTTTGTATAGAATTCAATCATTTATTTATTTTTCCATTCCATTGAATCCCAACAAATGACTTCCTGAGGAGTTTTGTCCCAAAACCTAATAAGAGTACCAAACAAGAACACAAATCCATATGTCTAGACATTAAATTATCTTATCTTATTTTGACAGTATCACGCAGCCAAACTTGAAAGGCATTGAAATGACGCGTTAAGTTGCTGGCGCCTAAAATGTACGCGCAGGCGTATGGACAGCAACAACAAAAAAGGTACGCGGATATACAAATGTCATACAAACGAACAAATGCAAAAAAAACTAAATTGTACTAAATTGTACGCAAAAAACTAAATTGTTCCTCACTTGATGTGAGGAAACGTACAATTTACCGATGTCTAAACACAGATGATGCCTGTCTGACATGACATGGCTATAAATAAATGAATGAAAATAGGATACAGTGGATTGAGTTCAGACTAAGGAAAATATTATTTTAAAAATAACCAAATAACGAAAATGGGGTGGTACCATTAAATGGAGTACAGAAAAACGATGACCTATGTCGAAATGGTTTGGCAGAAATCCATCCTCCAAAAATCAATAATGTCAAATTACAGCCACATCGATGGGAAAATCCGACTATACCAAAACCTAGGCAGATGTTAATATTTTTAAAATATCAACTAGCCGAATTCAAAAATGAAAAAAGCCTGCAGTCTTCAAATACGGTTAAATGGGGGTCTGCCTCGACACATTGGCCCAGATTGATATTATTTTATTGGAATATCAGGCGAATGGAATGTCCTATTTGAAGCAAATTTTGCACAGCCTGTTATATTAGGTTGGGGAAAAAAGAAATCCATTATGAACGTCGATAAAATCGGATCAAATTTGAACGGCATGTTACCAGTCGTAACATCGCACAGTTGCTAAAAATCGACCACAAAACTGTTTTACACAATTTAGACAAAGCTGTATTCAAAAAGAAGCTCGATGTTTGGGATCCACATCAATTAACGGAAAAATAAGATGTATCGAATTTCCACCTGCGAAGCCTCGGCCAAAACGGAATGACATAGACCCCATTTATTAAGGGAACCCCCCCCCCCATTCTCAATTTTAATTTTTCAAGATTTTCAATGGGCTGGTAAATCAATACCAATGCTTGTTAAGGTTTGTAACTTTGCACATATATAATTGAAGATTTAAAAGAGAAGAAACATAATTTACAAAAAAATTTTGTTATTGTTTTGTTGTTGTTTTTTGTAATTATAGAAAAGTCCTTATTTTTGATGGCGGGCATGATAACTCCTCACTGGAACATCGGAATCCGAAAATTCCAACGGTGTTAGAAAGAGTACATGTCTGGCTCTCGTATGAACTAGGATTATTGACTTCGCTCTAAAATTAACAAAATGGTGGACCTTTGAAAAAATATTTTTGGAAAATCGACGATTTTTTACAAAAAAACCAAGTTAAAAAATAAGGAAGATCTTCACCGATTGGTTTTATCCTAGTTCATACGAGAGCTATACACTCCCAGAGAAACATTGTAAAATTTGGAACTGATTGGATTATTAGTTTTTGAGTTATCGTGCCCGCCATTCGCAAAAAAATGTTTAGAGAAAAACGCGTTTAAAGTTTGAGAAGCCCTTCAGCCGTCACTTGATGCGGACACAATTAATCGGATATTTCTTCAAGAGATCTTGAGATTTACACTTGAAATTTTGTAGAGACATTCTTTAATCAGTGTAGATTCGAATTATATCAACGGATGATGACTGGAGATTAGAAATGGATTACATACCCTGTGCGAAAACGATCGTGGCCAAAGAGCGATGAAGCACCTCAAACGGTGGCCAAACCAGAACTAACGGCCAGGACGGTTCTGCTATCCATTTGGTGGGACTGGAAGGGGATTACTTATTATGAGTTGCTTCCATATGGACAAACGCTAGATTCTGATCTCTACTGTCAAAAACTGGACCGTACTAGACTCATAGAAGGCATTATGAAGTTACCTTTAAAATGGCAACAAATCAAAACGGTGCATATTTGGCCCAAATCTGACATTTTGAAGCATGTTAAATAAAGCCCTACAGTTCATATAAAAACCAGTAAAGAAAGTAGTATAGTCGGACTAGGCCGACTATATGATACCCTTCACCACTTTGGGTATATTCCACATATGTATCCTAACAGACGACGCGTTTTTGTTATATATCTATATCTGAACCGATGTCAGGGAAACTTGCCAGAGACTAATTTATATTACATCAGTACGTTGTGTCAATCGGCCTAGCTATGGATCTTTTCACGAAGCTTGGCAACATCATTGTAGACTTAATTCAGTACCCTATACCAAAATTCGTGCAAATCGAAAGATATGTAGGGAATTTGGTGCACCAATTACCCAAAATCGGCAGAAACTATATATGGGAGCTATATCTAAATCTGAACCGATTTTCTTGAAACTTAGCAAACATTATTATAGATACAATTCAGTACGCTATGCCAAATTTCGTGCAAATCGAAAGATATATAGGATCTTTGGTGTACCATTTACCTTAAATTGGATGAAAATATATATGGGAGCTATATCTAAATCTGAACCGATTTTCACGAAACTTAGCAGACATCATTCTAGGCCTTATTCATTACGTTGTGACAAATTTCGTGCAAGTCAAAGGATGGGGTTCGTCCTTGGGCCAAACAAATGAGCTGTGCCACCCTAGACTATGATTCTATGCATATTCTCAAAAGGAACCATGGGTCTATCTCAATTATTTTTTCCTGTTACAAACATATGCACCAGGATATAATACCCTGTACCACAGTGTGATGAAGGGTATAATAATGGATTTCTTTTCGCCCAACCTAATTAAAAACCAGCGAGAGGAGCAATATATTCGGAAGTGACCGACCACTTGATACCCTACACAACTACACGAAAATCTAACTGTATGCAGTTATATATTCTGAGCCTGGCAATAATTTGCGATAAAATTTGGTCACTTTAGGTTTTGGTTAATATTCATCGAAACAGCCGTTCTAAGTATTAAGGCAGATCCACTTCACCGTATAAAATATCTGACGTTCTGCATACAATAATAGCATCTAGAGCCACTAGTAAATTTGACAAAAAAAAAGTTTTCGGTTCATTGCACCGTCTAAATATCATCTTAGCATCGGCCTTGATCATAACCGGGACTTCATGTAAAATTTCAAAGCGCGACATTTCCGCCCTCTAGTGGGGTAATATTAATACTAAGCAATATCATAACACCTAGACAACTGAGACATCCGAGTAGATACAACAATATAATTGGTATCAATTATCAAGAAGTTGATAGCATATCTATGTCCTTCAGAATACAACATTTTGTAATTTTTCACAAAAGGACTAGAAACACTTTATACGGTTTTCTACAGACCAAAATAAAGTTTTTTGTCCATTTTCTCCGCTAAATATTAACGGATCATTACCAAAAACAATATGGTCCTTCATTGGCCAGAACACATCCTACATGCAAAGTTTCGTGAAAATTGGTCTATAACTGTGGCCCCTATCATGTTAATAAATTATAATGAACAGACGGACGGACACACCACTCTAGATCGACACGTCGAGATATGATAATGGGTATAAAAATCCACCTTAGGCTGCGATATTTATGGAAAAATATTCTTATTAAATCACGCTTTTAATAGTCCCTATAAATAATCTGAATAATACATTTAAAAGTCCATGCTAATTGCTCTAAAGGGACATTAAGAAGTATTCTTAAAAAAATAGCTAATAGCTAATAGCTCGATTAGACTCTGAAAACCTGTCGATAATATATCTCCTCCCCACAGTGCTGATTCTAAACACTGTGAATTGAATTGTATGTAAATGAAATATGCAAAATCGTATAAACGTATTCACATTTTGTTGTTGTTGTTGTCTCCACTACCACCTTATATTAGTAGTAGTAGAAAAACTACTCACCTACAGAACATATCCAAATTCTGTTGAGCATTCTGTGTTAAATTCAAATCTGGATGTGCTTCATCCTCTTCGAGCAGGATTATTTTCACCACCACAATTTCAATGGCATTACCAATACTGGGATCTTTGTACAGGGCTGAGACCATATTCATGATGGTCAAAAGATACGTCTCTACCTCATTATGAAAGTTAACCATTGTCGAATCGGCAACAATTAGAGTTTCAACATGACGTGGGCTGCTAATTGAACGTTTCATGCGTCGTTGTGAGTGTTGTTGTTGTTGATGGTGTTGCTGGGATTGATGTTGTTGTGTTGTGTGGTGATGTTGCTGTTGAGGTGCCAAGTTAATTGCGGATGGTGTTACTGGGCCAGAATTGCGTTGGTTTGATATATAATTGTTGCGGCTGTTGTTGTTGTTGCTGCTGCCATTTCGGTTGTTAAATGCTGAATGCTGTTGTTGATGATTTTTTATTTGATGTTTATGGTATTCCTGATGTTTTACATCCGCCGTGGTTGTCTCATATTTGAAATGTGGCTGTTGATGATGTAGACGTCTTATTTTACGTCCACCTTGTATTTTTAACTGTAACAGAGGAAGATGGAAATTAAATGTTAAAAAAATGTTAAAATTTACGGATAAAAATAAAGCTGTATGGATCTGGAAGTCCTATGATAAATATTTTTAAAAAATCCACATCAAAAGATCTTCTAGTACTTAAAGAAAAATTTTTAAAAATTCACGCTTGTAGACCTGAATTTTTGTATGATTCAAACTTATATATCTGATAGCCTAATCATAGAATCCAATTATTGAAAAATTATTTTATTGTTGTATCTCGTTCTAAACTCTCTAAACTGCTAAAATTAAATTTTATAAAAAATATTCACTAATTAAAAAAATACATATTTAAGGTTTAAAATTAAATTCAAAATGTTTTAGTCCATGGACAAATATTAGTGCTTATAGATCAGATAGTTCTTAGAAGCCAGTAAGGAATGTAGTAAAGTCGGATTAATTAGACACCCATTGATTATTTGGTGCACCAAAGTACCAACATATCCTTCGATTTACACGAAATTTGGCATAGCGAACTGAATTGAGTCTAATATCGGAAGAAAATATATATGGGAGCTATATCGAAACCTTAACCGATTTTCCCAAAACTTACCACTCATCATTCTAGACTCAATTCATTACAAATCGAAAGATATATAGTAACTTTGGGGGTACCATTTACATCAAATCGGACGAAAATATGTGTACACACATCACTCTAGACTAAATTAAGTACGCTATGCCAAATTTCGTGGAAATCGAAAGATATATAGGTACGTTGGTGCACCATTTACCTTAAATCGGACCAAAATATATATGGGAGCTATATGTAAATATGAAACCATATTCACGAAATTTAACACACATTTAGACCTTATTCGGTACGCTATGCAAAATTTCGTGCAAATCGAAGTATATACGGGGACTTTGGTGCACTATTTACCTAAAATCGGACGAAAATATATATGGGAACTATATCTAAATCTGCAATGATTTTCACAAAAGTTAACACACATCACTGTAGACTTAATTTAGTACGCTAAGCCAAATTTCGGGCAAATCGAAAGATATATAGGTACTTTGGTGCACATTTACCTTAAATCGGACGTAATTATATATGGAAGCTATATCTAAATCTGAACCAATTTTCCCAAATAAATGAGCTGTGCCACATTTCATCCAATTCGAATCAAAAATGCGACCTTTGTTTACTATTTAACATGGACAGACGGACGGACATGCATAAATCGACGTAGAAAGTGATTCTATTCATATTCTCAAAAGGAACCATGTGTCTATCTCGTTTCCTTTTGCCTGTTACAAACATATCCACAAATACATAATACTCAGTACCACAGTGTGGTGAAGGGTATAATCATGTCTAAAAATCGTACAATATTAAATATCTGGTAGCCCTTTGAAAAAGATTCTTAAAAAATCCAGGGCTAAATCCTTCCATAAATATTCTTAAAATAACGAAAGTCTAAAGTCCGTCGAAAATGTTTATTTACAAAAATATTCTTATAGTTCTTGGAACAATATTCTTAAAATCGCTTGTATCTCTGCCAATATATTCATAAATGGACGCTCCAAGGTTATCAAGATTATCAAGACCATGAAAAAAATATATATTTAAAAAATCGTAAAAATCCACTCCACTGAGAAAATATTTTCAAAATATTTGCTCTGCTATATTTATTTAAAAAACCAAGGCCTGATAAAACATTTTTAAAAAAATCTACGCTTATCGTCCTTATGGTCCTTAAGAAAATATATTTAAAAAATCTACGCTTATGGTTCTGATAGTTCTTGAAAAATATTATTTAAAAAATCTACGCCTATCGTCCTGTTGGTATTTATAGTCCTAATGGTTCTTCAGAAAATTTATTTAAAAAAATTACAATTATTCTCATGAATATATATTTAAAACTTCATGCTTATAATCATGATGGTCAATGAGAAAATTTATTTAAAAGGTCCGCGCTTATAGTCCTGATGGTCATTGGAGAAATATATATAAACGAGTTTAGTTCTGATGGTCTTTAAAAATTATATTTAAAAAAATCCACACATATAACACTGATGGTCCCTGAGAAAATCTTTTTAAAAACTCAATGCTTATAGTACTGATTTGATATTTTGAAAATATCCACGCATATAGACCTGATGGTCCTTAGGAAACATATTTATAAAAATATGCAAAAAAGTATTTTCTTTTTAAATCCTGACGGTCCTTGGAAAAATACATTTGTACAGCTTATAGTCTACCCTTGGGCCGTCAAGACTATAAGGACTATGGACGCTTATAGTCCACATTTATAAAAAAATCCTGCTGATCCTGTAGATATAAATATATTTATAGTAATGCGCTTATCGTCCTGATGGTAATTATAGTACTAATGGTTCTTCAGAAAATATATTTAAAAATTTTACAATTATCCTCCTGAAAATATATTTAAAAATTCACGCTTATAGTCTCTGGTCTCTGAGAAAATTTATTTAAAAGGTCTACGCTTATGGTCCTGATGGTCCTTGTAGAAATATATATAAAAGAGTTTAGTTCTGATGGTATTTAAAAATTATATTTAAAAAATCCACACTTATAACCCTGATGGTCCTTGAGAAAATCTTTTTAAAAACTTCCATGCTTATAGTTCTGATCGTCCTTGAGAAACTATTTTGAAAATGTCCACGCATATAGTCCTGATGGTCCTTAGGTAACATATTTATAAAAATATGAAAAATATTTTCTTTTTAAATCCTGACGGTCCTTGAGAAAATACATTTGAACAGCTTATAGTCCACCCTTGGGCCGTTAGGACTATAAGGACTATGGACGGTTATAGTCTACATGTATAAAAAATTCTGCCGATCCTGTAGATATAAATATATTTATAGATCTGATAGTCCTTGAGAAAATATATATTAAAATGAACGCTTATTGTTCACACTCATACAAAAATCCTGTTGATGCTTTAGATGAAAAGATATTTATGGTCCTGATAGTCCTGAAGAATATATTTTTAAATGCTAATATAGATGATTCTTGAAAAATTATATTTAAAAAAATCCAAGCCTTTAGTCTTGATGGGTCTTTAAAAAAATATATTTGAAACATTCACGTATATCGTTCTGGTCGTCATGGGGACAATATATTTTAAATTGCATTCGCATTATCCAGATTTTCCTCAAAGCTATATATTTTCCTTATAGAAATATATGGCGTAAAACTAAACTATAAAATTAGAGCAAATTCGATTGAAAAACGTGTATGACATCCTTAAAATACCGTACATTGTACAGGTACCATTAAAAGGGACAATAGCAAAACATGGACTTGGAAAAGTCCTTGAAAAATATGTTTCCCATTTCCAACCTCATTAATATTTTTAAAAGAAGAATTATCAGCCTTCCATGAGCGGAAATACTATTCTCTATTGCTTCTCAGCCATTCCGTCTACAAATGATCTTAAATTACAATCCAGAAAACACAATGACATTAAAAAATAAAAACAACCTACAAATTGTCATTTAAAAAATCCCAAACATTTTGCATCCATCCACCCACTCACCTTGCCTTGTGGTTGCCATTCCACGAGACGTGCTTCTATTCGTCGTCTTGGCTCCTTGGTGCCACAATTACTTAAAGTTCGCCTTTGACGTTTCGTTCCATTTTGCAACAATTTATGTGATGACTGGTGTTCTTTTTCTTGTTCCTGGTGATGAGGATGTTGCTTGTGCGGATGATGTGGTTTTTTTGTGGTCTACAAAACGAAGAGAAATAAAAAAATATCCTTGCATTAATGTCAGAATTTTTATTTAAATTTGTTCAGCATTGACAACTTTTTTTCGGGCAAATTCAATTTCATTGTGGGTTGTTGTTGCAGTAATTTGTCTAGATGTTTATATGGTTTGTCTCTTAACTGGATTTAGTAGTCCATTTATTCTGTTTTAGTAGTGCATCTATTTGTCTGTCCAAATGGTTGGCTGGCTGGCTGTCTGTCTCTATGTCTGCCAACTTGGACATTATACGACTGGTTGTCTTCCTGCCTTCTATGCCACCAGTGAATATTTGGCTTACATTTTCGATGTCTGTCTGTCTTTGTCTTTTTTGCTTTACTTTTGTTCGCTTTAGTTCATTCATAGTTACAGCCAGCCCACCTAAAAACAGTTGTCGTTCGTTGTTATCTCTCTTTGCCACTCTCCCAATCGCCCGCTCACCGTCGTCTTCCATGCAAATGCAAATTTCAGTAATTACCTTTTCCTTAACAGATGATCTTTGAAATACAACATGCGGATGTCCGTTAACGTTGTGGGCTGCGGCATGAAGTTTTGATGGCTCAATGTAATATTCATTATTTTTGGTTTTTATGTGACCAACCTGAGGAGATCGAGATGATAAAAGAGCAAAAATTATGAAAATAAATAAATATGATTATTTTATGTTAATATTATGCGTTGTATGTACGTATATTGTAATAAAATTGTAAAATAGATATGACAACTAAATATGAAAAAAATAATGATTAGCTTAAAAATTAAAAGACTTAAGACACAAACGTGGTAGTTATTGTGGTTTGATGTTTTCCATGTAAGTTTGTATTAAAATAAAAAAGTTCTATGAAGGTAGGACAACTTGTTTAAAGTCAGTAAAGAATTTGGAATGGCCAAGGTTAAAGACCCCATAAATTTAAATATATTCATGAATAAAATAAAAATGAATACTAAATCGATTTTTCAACCGAAAGATCTTCACAAGAAATTTCCACTATATTTCGAGGGCTTCACATAGCCTCCACTTTTGTGATCTGACAGTTATTTGGCACTACAAGTTCTTGGAGCTTAAAAAATCTTCGCTTAAAAAAGTTCGGCCAAATCGAACTTGTTCTATATATATTTTGGATAAATATTCCTTTTTATACCCTCCACCTAAGTTTGGAGGGTATAATAACACTGTGATACAATACAATTTTTTTTCAGGGGTTCCAATGTACCAATTCCGTTTAGTTGGAGTCCCTGGACCATGAATATACCTTTGGTTTTTCTGGGTCACTTCGAAAATTAGTTTTATAACGGTAAATGTAGAGAAAAAAGTGGTTTCATAGGTTTTCACTTTGAAACGCGTGTAATTTTGATTTCTCCGTTTGTAACTCATCGAAATAATCATTTCCGACCCTGATTTGTAAAATTTGACTAGAGGAATGCATGCGCAATGATTGGAACCTTAGCATCCTGTGTACCGTGCACAAAAAAGGAAACACGGCGATATGTGACAAATATAGAGGAATTAACCTTCTTCTCATCGCATATAAAGTGCTATCCAATGTGCTGTGTGAACAACTGAAGCCAATGATCAATGACATTATTGAACCATACCAATGCGGCTTCAGTCCTGGCAAATCCACCATTGATCAGATTTTCACTCTGCGCCAGATACTGGAAAAAAACCACAAAAAACACACCGATACATTCAACGTACTCGTCGACTATAAAGCCGCATTCGACAGCCTTACCCCTTCAGAGCTATGTGTTTGGCATCCCAGCAAAATTAATACGGCTGTGCAGGATAATTTTAACTGGTCGGAAAGGACCTCTCGGAGCCCTTCAATACCAAACGAGGATTCAGACAAGATGACAGTCTGTCGTGTGACCTGTTTAACATCCTGCTGTACACCAAACATCACATGTTACTCGCCTACGCCGACGACATCGGCATAATGGGTCGAACATTGCGAGCGGTAACAGCCACCTTTGAACGAAGTGGGACTGGCAGTAAATGGCGAAAAGACCGGGCTGATGGTATCAACGCGCAAGACGTGCTGTAGACTCGGATCAACTATGAAACTTGAAAACTACAGCTTCGAGGTAGGGTACAATTTTATATAACTCGGTATTGCCATAAACAAAACTAATAACATCAGCTTTCCGGAGGAGAATAGTTTTGGCCAACAGATGCTACTGAGTAAGCAACTCAAAAGTAATGTCACCTCTCTCCAGACCAAATTCACAGTCTAAAAGATAATACCTGTGACATCAATATAGTCAGACGGATCGAGCTGCAGCGACTACGTTGGCTAGGCTATCTTGTAAGAATGGCTAAAGATGCCTCAGCTCAAAAGGCATATAAAAGTGAGCCAAGTGATGGTTCACGCAGAAGGGGAGGGCCACGAATCCGATGGAAAGATCAAGTAGAATACAATCTCGGAAAATTGGAAAAACTGCGCAGAATACCGATGCGCCTGGAAAACTTTTTTAAGCTCGGCTTAAAGAACGAAAGTTCTGCCACAAGCCAGCTAAGTAAGTAGGACCCAATAAAGTATGTATATATTCTTGATCAGAGTAAAATTCTATGGCGGTATTTGAATATTTAGCGTAAAGGAAGGTATCGTGATGCCATAATTTTATTTTCGAAATTGAGCTATATCAGGCCTCAACTGGCATAGCCCCTCAGATAATGATTGCTACAAATGTTCGGTAATTCCCTAACGATGTAATCAGCCTCCAGGGACGTACGCATACAATTTTTTTCTGCAATAACAATTTTAATTTTCAATTTTCATCCTCATATAGCTGTGTCCTCTAAATTTCAGCATTTCGTGGATGTTTCACCCTACCATGTGTTGTCATGTCGGACCACTTTTTGGAGGTTTTTAGTAAAAATCTCCATTAAAAATTGCTGAAATATTTATTTGGTGTACCTTATGGTTTACATAAATCGGTTTGTAGAATTGACGATTGATATAAGTTGACTTTTTGGTATGTTCCCTATATTTTTATTTCAAGTACCTGTCAGTATACCTATGGTGGAGGGTATTCGAAGTTCGGCCCGCCCGAACTTACCACTTTTTATACCCTTCACCACACTGTGGTACAGGGTATTATGTCTTTGTGCATATGTTTGTAACAGGCAAAAAGGAAACGAGATAGACACATGGTTCCTTTTGAGAATATGCATAGAATCACTTTCTGAGTCGATTTACGCATGTCCGTCCGTGCGTCCGTCCGTCCATGTATATTTGTGAACAAAGTACAGGTCGAATTTATGGTCCGATTTGGATGAAACTTGGCATAGGTCACTTATTTGGCCCAAGGACGAACCCTATTGAAATTGGGAAAAATCGGTTCAGATTCAGATATAGCTCTCATATATATTTTCATCCGATTTAATGTATATGGTGCACCAAAGTCCCTATATATCACTCGATTTGCACGAAATTTAGCACATCGTAATGAATTAGGTCTAGAAAGATGTGTGTTAAGTTTCCTGAAAATCGGTTCAGATTTAGATATAGCTCCCATATATATTTTCGTCCGATTTAATTTAAATGGTCAACCAACGTCACTCTAGCGTCTAAACGAACTGAGATAGATCGCCAAAATTTTGCACAGAGTCGTCTTTTGTCTGCAGGCAGATCAAATTCGAAGATGGGATATATCGGTCCACGTTTAGGCATAGCTCCCATATAAGGGTACGCCCCCAATTTTACGTATTTTGGGGTTCAGGAGCGCGTTTTTCAACCGAATTCGCTGAAATTTAGTACTTTTAGTTGCTATTGGGTACCCAATTTCTCCAAAATTATGCATATAGGTCCATTTTTTCTGGTAGCCCCCATATAAGGGTACCTCCCAAATGTCGGTATTTTGGGGTTCTTGAGCGCGTTTTTCAACCGAACACGCTGAAATGTGGTAAATTTGGTTCTTATTGGGTGCCAAATATCTCCACTAAAAATTATAAATATAGGTCCAATTTTTCTGGTGGCCCCCAAATAAGGGTACCCCCAATTTTCGGTATTTTGAGGTTCTTGAGCACGTTTTTCAACCGAATTCCTATTTTGTAGTCGTATATGGTAACAAATTTTCCTACAAAAAATTATCGATATTCACCCCCTTTTGGGGTAGTCCCTATTTAACCCCCTTTTTATACCCTTCACCACACTGCGGTACAGGGTATTATGTCTTTGTGCATATGTTTGTAACAGGCAAAAGGAAACGAGATAGACACATGGTTCCTTTTGAGAATATGCATAGAATCACTTTCTGAGTCGATTTATGCATGTCCGTCCGTCCGTCCGTCTGCCCGTCCATGTATTTTTGTGAACAAAGTACAGGTCGCATTTATGATCCGATTTGGATGAAATTTGGCATAGGTCACTTGTTTGGCCCAAGGATGTACCCTATTGAAATTGGGAAAAATCGGTTCAGATTTAGATATAGCTCCCATACATATTTTCATCCGATTTAATGTAAATGGGCCACCAAAGTCCCTATATATCTCTCCATTTGCACGAAATTTGGAACATCGTAATGAATTGTGTGTTAAGTTTCCTGAAAATCGGATCAGTAAATGGTCAACCAAAGTCCCTATATACCTTTCGATTTGCACGAAATTTGGCACAGCGTAATGAATTAGGTATAGAATGTTGTGTGTTAAGTTTCCTGAAATCGGTTTATATTTAGATATAGATTCTATATCTGCCAAATGAAAAATATAGTATCGGTTGCAGAATGACATGTTTATTGATCCAATTTCATTTTACTGGTCCTTTAAAAATGCGACGTCTGTTAGGATTCATCTGTTAAAGTGGTGAAGGGTATCATATAGTCGGCCCCGTCCGACTTTACTACTTTCCTTACTGGTTTCAATTGTTTAATTCTAGTTTCAGCTCTGGCCGAATAAGACAATATTGACATGAAATGGCAAGTGGAATAAAAATCTTCTTAATATAATAATTTACTTAACAATTCTTTTTTTTTTATTGATTCCCACGTCAGCTCAGCCAAGGCAAAATACTTCTCAATAAAGCTTGCAATATTTATGATATATTTTACGTTTGTAGCTATGGAGCATTTAAGACCCATACGTCACTGGAAGCTTCAACATTGTTGTTAACAGCGTATAAATATGACTGTAACTCAATTAATTGATAATAAAAATTTCCAAGCATGCGCCTTATTCCCAACAATAATTGTCTGCTAATTAATGTGCAATTTCTGTGAATTGATTATATCAATTAAATTTAATTTTTCAACATATTAATCAACTGATGAGATGAAACACAAATTCCGGGGAAATACCGGAGGTAAAACCAAAAAAAAAAAAAAAAAAATAAAACAAAATAACAAAGAAATAATACAAAAATGCTTTCGACATAACAAATTATGGGAGAGCACCAAACATCTAATGGGGTTATAATTAACTCATTTATATCTAATATATACATACATATATTTCGCTCAAAATCCCTTTGAGCATATAATTTATCTCTTCAATATTTTCCGTATTCATTTTACGCTGTCCCCTTTGATTCTGTTCAACCTAACCTAGGCTAACCTAAATCATATGTCAACTAATTAATACCAATAACGTTAAGAGCAACACAAAAAAACCAATGTAAATATAAATATAAAATGTTAAGCGGTGTCATAAAATGTGTTTATGACTCTAATGACAAATAATCGCTGCTTCCGTTAATGTGAGAAACATTAGTGAAACGACCGACAACTGGCGTTTACCGCTTTCATAAGTCTGTATCGGCGACTGAAATAAATGACGAATGTAGATATCAATCGGAGGGCAGATACAGGGGTGTGAATGACTACATGAATGGCATAAATGTTGAGGTAGTACTACTACCTGGTACTGTCTACCCAATATCTATGTAAGGATGTATGTGTTTTGCTGGCTGACAGACTGGCTAACTGGCTGGCAATATATGGCGCCACATCAACCGCATGCAGTACCTTGCCATTATTTTCCAATAACCACGCCATGCCAATCTCCAAACGAAACAACAGCCGCCAAGAAGGACAGATAAACAACAAGAATAACAGCAACAACAACCAGAGTGAATGTGTAATCGGGAAACATTATAAAGGCATGCAGCAGCCATATCCCCACATGTCCATATGCATATATGTATGTATGTTGAAGACTCAACACTCACGCTTTTCATGCATACATTTACTGGATAATGGATTTTTCATGGCAAGGCAGCCAAGACTAAAAAAAGAAAACATTAACAACAACAAAAACACTGAGAAGCAGGACTGACATGTAGACATACCGACAAGTTTATTGTTATAGACCATGGACAAGCAATTATCTATTGAAACGGAGGCATTATATGGCCCGTGGCAAGCTATCAAATGTTTACACATTGTAATATTTAATTTGCAACATCGTTGAAAGGCTCGATGCGACAGGAGAGAGAAAAAGGTGAGGGTCAGCGGAGATTAGATATGTCTTGATGAAAGTTTTACAAATTAATTTAACAAATTGGCATTATTTTTTTATTGGAACAAACCTTTATAAATTATCAAAAAATGTTATCAATTTAGAGGTTTGCTGTCTTTCTCCCTTCTGAGTTTAAAAAAATAATTTTTAATTAATACCCACAATAAATTACCTCCCAAATATTCCAAAATATCAAATCCTATTCAACACCTATACACATAGTTGACCGTAGAAAAAATTTCATAAATTTATTTTTAAAGACCGCGTTCAACGGTCTTCTGTTCAAAATTAAAAAAAAAACGAGTGAAAAAACGTTAAGTTGGGCCGGGACGAACTTTGGATATCCTCCACAATAGGTATACTGATAGGTACTTGCAATGAAAATATAGGGAACATACCAAAAAGTGGAAGTTCGGCGGGCCGAACTTTAAATATCCTGTACAATAGGTATATTGGCAGGTACTTGAATGAAAATATAGGGAACATACCAAAAAGTGGACCTATACCGATAATTCTACAAACCGATCTATGTAAACAATTATGTAAACCAAATACAAATTACAGCAAATTTTAAATAGAGATTTTTCCTAAAATCTGAAAATTCCAAAACGTTGCAAAGTTATATAAGAAAGAAAAAGTGGACCTATATTTATAATTATTAGTGGAAAAATTTGGTAACCAATTAGAACCCAATGTACCAAATTTCAGCGAATTCAGTTGAAAAATGCACTCAGGAACCCCAAAATCCCGAAAATTGGGGGTACCCTTATATGGATAGTCTTTAAAAAATCTACGCCTTATGATAGTCTTTAAAAAATCTACGCCTTATGATAGTCTTTAAAAAATCTACGCCTTATGATAGTCTTTAAAAAATCTACGCCTTATGATAGTCTTTAAAAAATCTACGCCTTATGATAGTCTTTAAAAAATCTACGCCTTATGATAGTCTTTAAAAAATCTACGCCTTCTGATAGTCTTTAAAAAATCTACGCCTTATGATAGTCTTTAAAAAATCTACGCCTTATGATAGTCTTTAAAAAATCTACGCCTTATGATAGTCTTTAAAAAATCTACGCCTTATGATAGTCTTTAAAAAATCTACGCCTTATGATAGCCTTTAAAAATCTACGCCTTATGATAGTCTTTAAAAAATCTACGCCTTATGATAGTCTTTAAAAAATCTACGCCTTATGATAGTCTTTAAAAAATCTACGCCTTATGATAGTCTTTAAAAAATCTACGCCTTATGATAGTCTTTAAAAAATCTACGCCTTATGATAGTCTTTAAAAAATCTACGCCTTATGATAGTCTTTAAAAAATCTACGCCTTATGATAGTCTTTAAAAAATCTACGCCTTATGATAGTCTTTAAAAATCTACGCCTTATGATAGTCTTTAAAAAATCTACGCCTTATGATAGTCTTTAAAAAATCTACGCCTTATGATAGTCTTTAAAAAATCTACGCCTTATGATAGTCTTTAAAAAATCTACGCCTTGTGATAGTCTTTAAAAAATCTACGCCTTATGATAGTCTTTAAAAAATCTACGCCTTATGATAGTCTTTAAAAAATCTACGCCTTAAGATAGTCTTTAAAAAAATCTACGCCTTAAGATAGTCTTTAAAAAATCTACGCCTTATGATAGTCTTTAAAAAATCTACGCCTTAAGATAGTCTTTAAAAATTCTACGCCTTAAGATAGTCTTTAAAAAATCTACGCCTTATGATAGTCTTTAAAAAATCTACGCTTTTACTGGCCCCTAAAACTAGTCTTAAAAAAATCTACGCCTTATACTGGCGCCTACAAATAGTCTTTAAAAAATCTACGCCTTATACTGGCGCCTAAAAATAGTCTTTAAAAAATCTACGCCTTAAGATAGTCTTTAAAAAAATCTACGCCTTAAGATCGTCTTTGAAAAATCTACGCCTTAAGGCATTTGAAAAATATTCTTTAATAAAAATATTCTTAAGATAGTCTTTGAAAAATATTCTTTAAAAAATTGCGCCATAAGATAGTCTTTGAAAAATATTCTTTAAAAATCTACGCCTTAATATAGTCTTTAAAAATGTTATTTTAAAAAACCGGCCTCTTGAGATTCTTTAAAAAAATCGATGCCTTGTGATAGACTTCGAAACAATTTTTTTTTCGAATTCAAGCCTTTTGTTTTATTTATTTTAAAAACAAGCCTTGGAAAAGGCTTTGAATCTTTATATATATATATATATATATATAAGTAGTAATAAACAACTCCCACTTACCAAACCATTACAAGCTGACAGAGCTACCCTCGAATCTGGCTGATCCTTTATCCGTCCATGATAATGGCAATTGGTATTTTTTTGCAAACGTTTACGGGTACGCAAATCACGACGATGTCTTTCCACTATCAGGTGCGGTGTCATAAAATAACTATGTGGCCTGAAAATACAAGAAACCGAATTACTTCCTTCAATGTCCCCCATGACATATCATGGCATCCTTACTCCAATTCCAAATGCAGCGTTTCATTTTCTATATCCAAATGATAGTGAACTTCTGGCTCCAATTGCGTATCGTCTATACTGCGACGTTTACGATTATGTTTATAATGCTGGCCATGATGATGTTGCAGATTGTGCGATACAAATTCACCATTTCTGTTGACTTTACGTGGTATTATTAATTCTCCAGATTTCAGTTCGTCCGAATGCAGGCCTGAAAAAGAGAGCGAGAGAGGGAAACATTAATAAAATTACAATTTATCAATACATCGATGACCAACCATGTGCCACTACCACAAAATTGAGTTGTTAACTTCAAACAAGAACAACAACTACAAAATGACGCGAATTTCTTCGAATCGATATAATTAAAATAAACGACTTCTATGAACATCCCATAAATCACACCATATGTTCGTGCAAAAGAATTGATCGGTGCTTGTCGTGTATGAGTTGAGCTGATGTGGTTTACAAATTTGTTGTTGCTTTGCCATACAGCAACAAATTTAAATTAAATTTTAAATAATTATATGCCTTAACGTGATTAAGGTGGCAATTATTATGTAATACCAAATATGCTAGTCATGCGAGAGAGAGAGAGAGAAAGAGAGAGAAAAAAAACATTTATCAAATTCCGGTAAATAGCCAAAAGGCACAAAAATATCCAACATATTTTGCTTTATAGAAATAAAGATTTATATTTTTTGATATTTTTTGTGGAAATAGACGATTGTTAAATACCTTATTTAGGAATCGAAAGATAGTTTTTCACATTTCGATTATTTAAAGTAAATGAAATAAATCTCAATACTATGTATATTTATTTTACGTTGTTCACTGCACGTATGGGTAACATACGCATAATAATACACACCATACGCCTACGTAACCCATATTATGATAGGACCTTCAATATACCGGAAAAGAGGTGAGGAAAAGATGATTACCTAATAGGTAGGCTAGCGTTTTACGGGTATATACCAAAACGGGGTCAATATGGATCGTTTTGGGAACTGAAATTATTTTTAGTACAGAGAAGTGTGAGAACCGTCTGAACAACGTCTGAGCTAAATTTCAAAGCTCTATCTTAAATATTGTTATCGGTATCTAAAAGAGGGACTTTAGAGGGGATTCTGATTAAGAATATATATACTTTATGGGGGTCTCCAGTGAATATTTCGAGGTATTGCAAACATAATGACAAATTTAATATAAAATTATGATGGAGGGTATACAAATTTAAGATCCAATTTCGTAGGACCATTTTTTGGTAGCCACATGTAATGGTAACACAAATTATTATACCCTTCACCACACTGTGGTATTATGTCTTTGTGCATATGTTTGTAACAGGCAAAGGGAATCGAGATAGACCCATGGTTCCTTTTGAGAATATGCATATAATCACTTTCTGAGTCGATTTTGGCCCAAGGACGAACCCTATTGAAATTGGGAAAAATCGGTTCAGATTTAGATATAGCTCCCATATATATTTTTGTCCGATTTACGGTCGATTTAAGGTAAATGGTGCACCAAAGTCCCTATATATCATTCGATTTGCATGAAATTTGGCACAGAGTACTGAATGAGGTCCAGAATGATATGTGCTAAGTTTCGAGAAAATCGGTTCAGATTTAGATATAGCTCCCATATATAGTTTCGTCCGATTTAAGGTAAATGGGGCACCAAAGTCCCTCTATATCTTTCGATTTGCATGAAATTTGGCACAGAGTACTGAATTAGGTCCAGAATGATGTTTGCCAAGTTTCGAGAAAATCGGTTCAGATTTAGATATAGCTCCCATATATATTTTCGTCCGATTTAATGTAAACGGTGTCGTCCGATTTTACACAAAATTGACACAAACTTTTCACAACGTACTGGAGTTAGAATAACCTAGAAGTTGGTTTTAAATGCTTTACCATTGTGAGTCCAATAGGCAACAATTTGCTCTACGTACTGAAGTTACTATAACACAACGTGTGGCAAGTTTAGTTCAAATCGGATTAGATTTTGATATAGCTTATATATATATATATATATATACGCTTATAATTGATTTTCATAATTTTGTCCCTGGTCCTTTAAAAATTCGACGTCTTTTAGGTTTCATCTGTTGGATATACCGAAAGTGGTGAAGGGTATCATATAGTCGGCCCCGTCCGACTTTACTGCTTTCCTTACTGGTTAGTATATATATTTGAGAGTTTTGAACGTATTTTTTGTCCGAATTGGCTGTAATTTAGTACTTAGATATTTTCGATATTTTGATTATTCGTTTTTCAACCGAAAAAATATTAATAATCGCTCCCATATAACCCTCATTTTATATTAAAATAGTTATTCGGTTTACAAGCCGAACTATTCAAGACTGGTGGTCAGATGCTGGTAAGGAGCATGCACCAGCTGATTAGTACAGTTTGGCTAGAGGAAAGAATGCCCAATAATTGGAACCTCAGCATCAAAAAAGGAGACAAGACGATATATGCCAACTATAGAGGAATAAGTCTCCTTCCCATCGTATATAAAGTGCTATCCAGCGTGCTGTGTGAACGACTGAAGCCAATTGTCAACGACATTATTGGACCATACCAGTGCGGCTTCAGACCAGGCAAGTCCATCATTGACCAGATTTTCACTCTGCGCCAAATCCTGGAAAAATCCTGCGATAAACACATCGACACATTCCACCTATTCGTCGACTATAAAGCCGCATTCGATAGCCCTATCCGTTCAGAGGTTTTTAAAGCCATGTCTGCGTTTGGCATTCCTGCAAAATTAATTCGGTTATGTAGGATAACTTTAGCTGGCACAATATCAAAATCGGAACGAACCCCTCGGAGCCTTTTAATGCCGAAAGAGGATTCAGACAAGGTGACAGTTTGTCATGTGACCTTTTTAACATCCGATGGTATCAATGCGCAAGACGTCCAGTAGACTCGGATCAACTGTGGAACTTGAGAACTACAGCTTCGAGGCAGTCAAAGATTGTATATACCTTGGTACCGCCATAAATAAAACTTATGACATCAGTTTTGAAATTCGGAGAAGGATAGTGTTGGCCAACAGATGGTACTATGGTCTAAGTAAGCAACTCCAATCTGAGTAGTCTGAGTAAGCAAGGCCACATCTCGGCAGACCAAACGCACACTCTACAAGACGCTAATACTAACCACGCTATTATATGGATCTAAAGCATGGGTACTTACGCAAGCAGATGAGGCAGCTCTTGGAGTGTTTGAGTGAAAAATTCTCTAATCTGCGTTGACGGTGAATATCGACATCGAATGAACCATGAGCTGTACCAGCTATTCCCGGACATCGGCATTGTTAGACGTATTGAGCTGCAGCGATTACGTTGGCTAGGTCATGTTGTGAGAATGGATGTCCAAGCCCTAAAGGCATATAAAAGCGAACCGCCTGATGGTTTACGCAGAAGGGGAAGGCCACGAATAAGATGGAAAGATCAAGTGGAGGACAACATTTCCAAATATGATCTTCCAAACTGGAAAAACTGCGCAAAAGACCGACGCGACTGGAAATCTTTTTTAAGCTCGGCTTATGGAATGAAAGTTCCGTCACAAGCCAGCTAAGTAAGTAAGTTATTTGGTTTGTTTTGATTTAGCCATCTGTTGTAATCATTGTACCATCGGAGGAGATAATAAGCCAGAACCTTTCTTTCGAGAATGAAGTATATTGATCCGCATATTCGATATTTACAGGGTATTATGTCTTTGTGCATATGGTTGTAACAGGCAAAAGGAATCGAGATAGATCCATGGTTCCTTTAGAGAATATGCATAGAATCACTTTCGGAGTTGTCCGTCTGTCCATGTTTTCTTGTGAACAAATTACCGATCGCATTTATGATCCGATTTAGATGAAATTTGGCATAGCTCACTTATTTGGCCCAATGACGAACCCTATTGGAAAATGGAAAATCGGTTCAGATTTAGATATAGCGAAGTTACGAAGTTATGTGGAAATCAGTCGAGATTTAGATATAGCTCTCATATATAGTTTCTTCCGATTTTTTCTAAATGGTGCACCAAACACCCAATATTTGTCCGATCGAAACAAAATTTTTTACAGAGTACTGAATTAGGTCCGTATTGATGTATACGAAGTTTTGTGGAAATCGGTTCAGATTTGGATATAGCTCTCATATATAGTTTCGTCCGATTTTTGGTAAATGGTGCACCAAACTCTCAATATTTGTCCGATTCAAAAAATTTTTTTTGCACAGCGCACTGACTTAATTCCAGTTTGATATCCGTGAAGTTTTATTGAAATCGGTTCAGATTCTGATATACCTACCATGTATTGTTTCGTCCGATTTTATGTAAAATGTG